ACGAGTTTGGTATTTGTGCAATATATATGCAAAGAGGAGAAAAGGGTACTAGGACCTAGTGAAGAAACTACCTAAGTTAAGATGTTCTATTACACATATTACTCTTTATTATATCCATTTTCACGGCTAGGAGGAAGGATAATTGCAGAAAAGTGCAGTTCATGAAATCAGAATAAGAAGAAAATGAGGAAACTGTTATGAAGCCCAGAGGAAGGAGAATTAATGCTAATAGTTAATATAGGACACTTACAAGAAAGAAAGAGAAATCTTTCTGCTTAAAAGTCTGCAGCTGCAGAAATTGGCCAACGTAATGTAATAGTAACACAATTTTGAGAAGTTAGTTTGGGTACAGGTCTCTAGGTGGTGCAGTTTGAGCTGGAGTGCTAGCCTATAGGTGGGTAGTTTGAATCCACCTAGTGGTACTGAGGAAGAAAAGGCCTGGTAATCTGCTTTCATTAGTATTACAGGCAAGAAAACCCTATGAAGCAGTTCTACTGTGTAACACATGAGGTCGCCATGAGTTAGAATCTACTGGAGGGCAACGACAAAGAAGACCAACAGTTTGCGTACATTAACAATAATGACTTTGGAGTGTGTTTCTTTTCTTGTTTATATATTAAACAGTTATGAAATGCCTCTACCTCTAAGCATTTGAAGTAGAGTTTGAGTTACATTTGATAGAGATATAATGTCATTAGGAATAAGACAAACAGAATATATAATAGAGGATGCAAAATTAGGGGCAATTTTTTGTGTGTCTGCATTTATTTTGGGTCCTGCATGTGGTCTCAACGTACCTCTCCAATATCAGAAGAGCCATGGTGCCCTCACTCTGCCTAACTTCTCAAGGCTTCTCTCAGTTCTTTCATATGTCTGTTGCGGGCCTCTGCCTGGAATTCCCTTCATAAGGCCATCCTCTGTCAACATTTTTGTAGCTCAGTCCACACCTGGGTTTTTCAAGGATCTTCTCTCTGACCTCTTACCAACCTCCCATCCCTAATCGCTCACACCCCAAATGAAACAGTGGTACCCCTACATGGTATTGTCACAGTATATTTGTATGATATTCCAAAATTAATATCTATTTTCTTCATTAAACTTTACTCCCCATAACGGTAGAAACTAGTCTATTTTTGCTCAGCACTGTATACCCAGTGCCTGGCTGTTTATTATAGAATAAGTGTAAAATAAATAATGGGGTGACAAAGTGGCATGATCCTCAATTCTCCTCTGAAGGTCAAAGTGGTCAATGACTAAAAAGTATCAAGGACACAAGTCCAAAGAACAAAAAAGACAGGGAATGCTGGCCACCTCAGAGGCATTGTGTACTACATTTAGATTCTAAATTTGGCAAAAAGTGTTTAGGCAGGTAAAATCACACACACACACACACACAATACGTATCAACATGACACATTATGCAATTTTAATTGTTCAGAGATTAAAGTTGCCAACAAAATATGTTGAAACTAAACTCAAGAATGTGCTTAACATATGTATATCTTATTAAAGGGTTCTTGAAGACAGTAAACTATTTCTATAAATAATCACTTTATAAAGATATTTAAATACTATTCAAATGAGAAGTTTTTAAACTGACATACAACATCAAATCGAATTGCATAAAGTGAATTTCTATAGAGGGTTGGAATAATAATGTACAGACCCTTTGCTTTCTAATCATTTGACTTTAATTTAATGATAGAACCTGGAAAAACTAGATAGACAGCTAATATGCCCATAAACTTGTCTCAATCAAATATCAGATGTTTTAAATGAATCTTCGATAGGTGTTGAATCAAAGCCAAGATATAAATGAATTTCCTTTCAGACATGTGTAATGCCTTTTTAGAATGTCAGATATGAGAAGGACTGACTTTGGTCTGCTAGTGTAAGTATTTGAGTTGAATGCACATTGTACATCTTTGCAGAGTCAATGCTAAGTCTGAAAAAGATTTATAATTTCCCATGGAATCCCAAACCTTCCCAAACTTTCTTGTATTGAAGAAAAATTGATATTTGCACAAGAAATTAAATGATAGATGGTAGAATCCTGCCATATAAATATGGAAGAGGAAAAATGGGGGATGATTTCAACTGTGTCTGTGAACGGTGTTTATGGAAAAAATATTTCTGATACTACAAGTACTTCCAATTAATTGGAATTGATGGTATACAAAGTGGAAAATGTTCTCGAGAGAAATATGATACCATATGGAGGCCCTTGCACATCAGATTGAGGCAGAGGATCATTTTCTTGGGAGGCAATAAAACGTTATTTATAATTATAGAATAAGGAAGATACAACCCCTCCATAAACCTGTTAGGATAATTAAAAGTTTGCTTTTAGAAAAAAACTTATTTGCTACCAAGAAATAATTTTGGCAGCTACAATGATTTTTGCTGGAGAAGCATAGGAAATAACATAGATTTGATGGCTTTTGTAGTCATGGACGCAGGCAGCCTAGAAGTATGATTTTTCTCTCCAAAATGCAGAGAAGCCTGTCAATATCCTTCAAACTCAGCAGCCCAAGCTGAGACCATGTATAGGAGAGGCGGTCAGCAGATAGGTCAACAGAAACAAAGTTGCTTAAAATAAAAAATAATAATATTGAACAAGATGATAGACTGAGAATTCTCAGCATTCAGAAAAGAAATGAAAGAAGAAAGGAAGGGAGGTAGGCAGAGAGGCAAGAAGAAAGGAAGGAAGAAAAGAGAGAAGGAAGGTAGATTGTTTCAGAAATTAGTCAAGACTGAGGACGTGCTATAGTATGGGACAAGAAAAAGAATTGGTATCATTCACACAAAGAAAAACCACTAGGGAAGAGCAGATTAGATTTGGTGATGGGGTGATGGAGCTTGAGTACATATCAAGGGGCTAAGTCCTAGAAGTAAATTCTCTCATTATGAAACTCCAGGGAAAGATGGATCTAGGCTAGAGAAAAGAGTGACTAAGATCATCACCTTAAATGTGGGTGGGGATGAGATTGCCCAAGTGGAATGTATTGACTGAAAAGAGAACAGTATCATATGGAGGTCCCTGGGCAGAATACCAGGGAACATGACAGACAGAGGAATCTGCAGCAGAGACTAAGGGGTAGGTCAGAGAGGTGAAACTGGAAGAAAAACCAAGAGAGTACAGGTGTCATGAAAGCCAAGGGTAGTCAGTACAAAAAGAAAGAAGTAAAGGTGAATAGGGCCATATCAGACAAAGGTGTAGGGAGGAACAGACCAAAGAGTCCTCATTGAGAGAAGAGTAGTTAACTTGTATAACATATTCGCCATCTTGCTTTCTGAGTTTTCATACTCTGATTTTCACTTCTGTGAATTCTTGTTTTGTATTTATTAATTTTTCTTTTTCTATCAATTAAGTAAATGAATTTGGCAGCTGAACACATTCAAAATTGGCAGAAGAGAATGTCCTTTCTCTTGAAAATCTCACCTTACTATTATTTTAGCAATACTTGAGAGTTGAGGGTAAACATGTTTTAGGCTGAGATATCCTTATCTATGATACATAATACAATCCTAATAAGTTATTGTTTTATTTTTAAGTCCATTTTTCTGATACTAAATAATTTGAGTGTTTATGTATGATTATATAATAATTATATTCCTTATAAAAAAAGCAAAAGAGTAATTATATTGTGTCCCAATCAACTTCAAGTTTGAAAAAGAAGCTTGAAATAGTCTTTCGATACAAATAAAGAAAAACAATTTAGTAATAGTTAAAATTAAGCACTAAGTTTTAATAATATAAATAAGGAAAGTATAATGAAATTTCTATGAATGTCAGTCACATAAAAATTTAAAGCAACCACAATTGCGTTGTTATGTAATAACAAACTTTGCAAAATGCATGTATGCTATAAGATTGTATTGAGGCACTAACGCCTCAAATACTGAAGAAAATCAAGTCAGTAATATTAATGTGACTGTTTCAAATGAGTTGTAAAATGCTAAAAGTTCATTATACTTTCTGATTGTCAGATTAAAATTTAATATATTAACTATGTATGTTTGAATATGTGTGCTATAAAAGAATTTGTGAGATTTAAAAAAACAAGTCCAGGTCTATTAATTATGTTGCATACAAGAATTCCCATTTGAAATATAATCTGTAGACTATTGGTTTATAAGCAATTTCTTGATTTGAGTCAATATGCCTGCAGTAACTGATGAATCATTTCCATGTTGTCTTCATTACCTTCCTAAGAATGACTTAAATTGTGCTGACTACGTATTTAATAATATATCTGTTGTGCTATGGTGTAAATTATGCTTACAAGCAATGGTATTAAATTCATTAAAAAACAAAATTTATGAATGCCTCTTAAATACTTTTTATTTATTATACATCTTGATACTTTTTTCCTAAATGTTGAAATGTGAAACTAAACTGCAGGAATAATATCATGTTCATTGATAAGTTTTAACCAGAACTGAATAGGCATTGCTGTGTGTAGTTATGTCTGTAAGCCACATAATGGGAAGTCAGCAAAATTTTTCCAAGTAGAACGTGCAAGCTTTTCAAAAAGTAAAGAGCCTACTAAATAAAGGCGTTTAATAAAACATTTATTTAAGTTTTTACTAAACCAAACAAAACTCGTTGCCTTTGAGTCAATTCCGACTCATAGGTACCCTATGGGACAGAGTAGGCTACCCCATAGGTTTTCCAGAGAGCAGCTGGTAGATTTGAACTGCTGATCTTTTGGTTAGCAGCCTGAGCTCTTATCCATTGCACCATCAAGGCTCCAAGTTTTTACTATATGTCAGTTTTCTTATAAGCAAGTGGGAGTTATCATGAGGTAAAATGAATAAGCTAAAAACAGTGAATCATAAATGTAGAAACACTACTTTTTGAAAGTCTTTTTTTTTTCTAATGCAAGTAAGAATTTATTTTCATTTACTGTATATATATGATAAGCACCATATGTTTGGTGATGGTTTTTCACAAAACAAGTATAAAATCTTTCTTTTTCCTGAATCGATGTAAACAGAGCCCAGACGGCCGTATCGATGTCCGAGGGCAGCTCGGAAGCTCGTCACTGCACATTACGGATGTGAAGTTGTCAGACTCGGGGAGGTATGACTGCGAAGCTGCGAGTAGAATCGGCGGACACCAAAAGAGCATGTACCTTGATATTGAATGTAAGTTATTTTCATTTCGTATGTTTATCAAAACAGCTTTTTCTCCTTTGAAAAAGATGAATTTTTGCAGGAATATCAAAATGTGTATGAAAATCAATGTTTCAATATTAAATGCATAAGTTAAAAACGAATGTAGTCTTTCAAATTCAGTTATTAGAGGCACCTAGTGGATATTGTGGTACATTTCACAGTGCTTCATGTTTGAGAGTCTTGGTATTGCTTACCCTAAAAACGGAGACCTTTTCTGGCAACGTTTAACCCCAAACGCAATTTCAACTGAACTGTTTTACTTATCAGTAATCAATCAGTCAACACCCCTTGGATTTTTTTCCCTGTTTTTTTTTCCTAATATTTATGGCCATGTCTCAGATATGTAATGTGTCTTCATTTCTTATTCCGGTTGTCTTGATGAATTAGTTTTCCTTCTAAGATATGAAACAGTATTTTAAAGACAGTGAAATATATCAGCACTTATATTTCATCCAATAGGAGACTACAAGGAGAATTGTTAAAATTAATAAAATGATTTTCATAACTATGTGAAATTTAAGAAGTGTGAAGGCTAATGTAAATGAAGCATTCACCATCCACCTGAGGGCATTGCATAAAATTATAATTTTGTATACACCATAGTAAAAAATGAGGACAATTTTACATAATTTTTATTGTACTTTAGGTGAAGGTTTACAGAACAAATAGTTTCTCACTAAACAGTCAGTACACATATTGTTTTATGACATTGGTTAACAACCCCCCAACATGTCAGCACGCTCCCTTCTCGGCCTTGGAGGACCTTTTCTTTTTTTGGTGAAAATATACATAGCAAAGATACACCATTTCAAAAACTTCTACATGTAAAATTCAGTGACGTCAATGGCATTCTTCAAGTTATGCTGCTATTCTCACTTTAGATGAAAGTTTACAGAACAAAATAGTTTCTCATTAAACAGTACACATATTGCCCTATGACAATGGTTAAGAACCCCACTACATGTCAACACTGTC